AGGAGAGCCGTAGGCATGGACAGGATATGCGGGTTGGGGTGCAGGGTAAGGTTGGCCAAAAGACTGGCGGACCTGGACTGGGGTGAATGCGGTAGCTGGTGAAGAAAATATCAGCGATGACCGAAAAATCTGAGGCGCGAATAAACTTACTTTGATATGGGGACGCAAAACCAGCCGCCGCCTGCGTGCCCGGTGGCGGCGGAACTGGAGGCCACGAAGGTACCATGTTGTGGGCGTACATTCGGCTGCAGTGCAGAACAAAATCAGAGAAGGGCAGGAGTTAGAGAAGTTAAATACGAGAAACCGGCTTTGTTTCTTTTGTCCAGCGATATCACGACGAGAGCGCTGATGCTGTTCGTTGCTGACGTTGATGGGAATACGGGGGATGGCGGTGAAGTTTGATGGAAGAAAGACGGTTGAACAAAAGGTGGGCGCACCCAAATTTTGGGAGGGCGCGAATCAGCTGGTCAGGCGCAGCCCAATCTCGGATATGTGAATATTCGTTTAACCTGACTAATCAGCGGTCTAGTGAGGATGGTGGAGCCGCGCACCGATAACAACGTAGTGATCGCTAACCGGCCCCGCGACGGCAGCTCAAGCTACCTACGTCAACGGTGCTGCCGAAACCAAATGCGCCTGCAGCATTCCCGAACATCACGGCCGGGACAGCCTTCCCCCAAGTATGACGGATGTTTCTCAAGCAAATCGACTTGACAACCGCTCTGCGGCCTGCGTACCTGCCAGATGAGGACCTGCTCTTCGTGCAGGACAATGTGGGGTTATATGAGGGGTGAGTCGCGTGTTGTGGCCCTGACTCCCTGACTCCGGCTCGCGCGGGGCGTGACGAGTGAATGAGATGAGGTTGACCAGTTGCTGTGCTCCAGGAAATACAAAGTCCCAAACCAGCAGAACGGCCAGGTCTATCTGACATCGCATCGTGTGTGCTACGTGGATAAGGCCGAGCCTCGAAAACACTCCGTTGCCCTCGATCTTAAGGATGTGGAGCGCTACGAGTTCTATGTACGCACATCTCTTCGTCTGGTCTTTCCATGTGCTTACTCGTCTCTCCAGGCCGGCTTCCTCAAGTCATCGGCCAAGATCACGCTAATCCCCAAGGCCACCAAACGTTCATCTCTCCAACCTCGGCCGCCAGGGATTACACCAGGAACTGGTAGCTCCTCAGTGACGCGGACTGGCAGCCCTGTCAGGGCGCCGCCTATGAAGCCACCGCCGGCAAGCACAGCTACCTGGGTTTGTACCATCTGTAGCTTCTCCAACCCCGTGCCATCGAACTTCGACCCCTCGACAGCCAGCGCGCACACACCGTTGCCCCCATGTTTAGCTTGCGGTATCAAACCTACGCTGGCCCATATCTTGAAGGCCTCGATTTCGAATGCCACCAGCAGACAACCCGCACCGACACTGTACACGCCTCTACCAGTCAGGCCAAGGCCTGTGTCCGAGTTCAGTGCCGCCCAAATCAGCGCCCCTGGGTTGCCTTCCACGCCAGGAAGGGGCACGAATTCTTCTCCCCGAACTTCCGACCCAGATGCATCGTTTCAGTGCCCACGATGCACCTTCCTCAACCACCCCTCACTTCTGTCCTGCGAGATATGCGGCGCCCCCTTGATCTCCCACGATCTCCCCGCCGAGTTCAACCAGCAAGCCAGAACGGAGACCGACTCCCCGGGGCCATTCCTAAGCACGCCTCTGAGCGCGGCCGCCCATAGTTTGGATACCCCTGAAAGCGTCAAGGTGTCATTCCGCGGTGGCGGGGAAAAGATATTTTACGAACGACTCAAGGGATGTATGACACAGCGAAAATGGCTCCTCCAAGGTGCGCCGCCGATTCCCAGGTCCTCCCGCTCAGACTCGCTTGGTGGCAATGGAACCGGCACGGGGGCGGATGCTGGTACCGGGAGTCCTGTTGAGCGGGTCAAGGTCGCAGGCATCGCTGGCCTCGAGCGGCGAGGTCAAGCAATGCGCAAAAATAACGAGCTGGTGATCGGGAGCGCGTTTGAGGACCTGGAAGCGCTGATGGCCTCGGCCAAGGATATTGTGGCGCTGGCCGAACGATTTGCTCGTCAGGTGCAACCTGGAGGAGCCGGTGGGAGTGCGAGCGAGACCGCGTTGCTAGCAGAGTCTGCCAGCCAGCTGGGGCTAATCACAACCAAGGACATCGTTGGTACCAGCGGTGGCGGCGACTCGCTTTACCTGTCAGAACTGGCACGCAATCTCGCCGAGTTCCTGACCGATGACGGGCGCGGTGTCCTCAAACGGGCCGGCGGTATCATGTCTCTCGTAGACCTCTGGGCCGTCTTCAACCGTGCAAGAGGGGGCGTGGAGCTGGTCAGCCCTTCGGATTTTGAGAAGGCGGCAAATCTGTGGGAGAAGTTGGGTCTACCAGTGCGGCTCCGCACCTTCAAGTCGGGTGTCAAAGTTGTCCAGGGTAAGGATCGCACCGACGAGACGACCATCCGTGCCCTCCTGGCGTGGATGAAGGATCTTCACGAGTTTCCGCCCGATCGCGATGTTGAATGGGACTGGCGCGAGTTCGGCCGCGGGGTAACGGCGAGGGATGTTGCAGAGAGGTTCGGATGGAGCATCGGCGTCGCAGAGGAAGAGCTAGAAATGGCAGAAGAGAAGGGTGTACTCTGCCGAGAGGAGGGCATCGAGGGCTTGAAGTTCTGGGAGAACTTTATCGACACTGGCGAGGGCAAGTCGAGGCCCAACGAGGCCAAAGAATCTCACGACAAGATTATGAAGGCTCTGAAAGAAGGGGGCTTTTTGTGAAAGGGATTTGCGGAGTTAGAGGGTTAGATATACAGTTGCATAGCTCGAGCCCGCGCCATGTCGATTTCTCTCTTTCAACGCAACGCCTTCAGTGTGCTACCGGTCCAATACGTCCATACCATTACCCTATTCTATATCTATCAGAGGGGTGAGATGTCCGTCTATACCTACAGCCCGCAGGCGTATCCGACCCATATGAACGCCAACCAAATTCGTTACGAGACAAACTGTTATTACAACCGAACGCCAGCTTTTCCTTCCAAGCCTCCTAACAGAACAGCAGCAAAAGCTGAACGTCCGAAGCGGTACCAATACCAAACAACGTCAACAGCGCTCAGCGCAAAAGCACTCATGTCATGGGTCACGTTCACCATCCCTCCCAATTTTAACTTAACCGCCCCATCAATCCCTCTCTCACCTTCATATTAACCACTCCGCCCACCCCAAACGCAGGCACGATCCTACATATCCTCGCCGCCGTGCTCACCGCCCAATTCCTCCCCACCTGGTTCCACCTCTCCCGCCAACCAGGTCGCCCGTTCCTCCTATCGAACGGCTGATTATAGATATCCAGCCCCAGCAGGTGCACCGGCGTACTAAACAGCTGCACCGCCGCCGGAGCTGCGAATTGTGCAAGTGTCGCGCCCGACGCGTATTTTTGTACCTCTTTGGAGAGATTTTGGGTCAGGACAGGACCCAGGATGTGCGGCACGTTGAAGGACGCGAAGATGGTCATGCAATCGCGCGCTGCGAAGAGGAGGTACGTTGGGAGGGCCACGGGGCGGGAAGGGCCGGAGCCGGGAGGGCCGAAGAGGCGTGCGAAGACTTGGTCTTTGTAGATGCAGAGGGAAATGTTGGCGGCGGAGGAGGCGGCGAACTTGGCGGTGCCGGAGGTGATGGTGTGTGCGGGTTTGTTGTGGACGGTCGAGGAGAGGGTGTCGACGGTGTTGGCGGTTAGGTACGTGCCGCCGTACAGGGCGAAGATGAGGGCGAAGGGCTTGGAGAGGATCGTGTGGTGAGGGCGGAGGAGGAGGGAGGTGAAGGAGGCGCGGAGGGATGCGCCGAGGGTGCGTCGGCCGGAGGCGTTCTCCATGATGGAACTGTGGGGAAGGCGGGTTAGTTTTGTTTTCGCTGGGGATCCGGGAGGATGGAACGTGGGGAAGAGGGGGGGCATACCGGTCGATGATGGAGATGATCGGGGCGACTAGCACGGCGGCCGAGGCCGCGCTGACCATGTCGGCGCCGAGGCGCCAGGAGAGGTTCTTAGTGTTCCACTTAGGGGGCGTCTCCATGACTGCGACGGCCTTTGGTGTTGCGACGGCGGCGAGGGACGGAGCCTTTGCGGCCTCGAGGTTGAGTTTCGGAGGCGCTCGTGGGGCCTCCAACCCGTTTGGTCCGCCGTCCTTCATCTCGGGGTCGCACGCGTGCTGCGCGCAGAGGTTGGTGAGGGTGTGGTTTGGTGTAGTTGCGCCGAGGGTCGCAAATGCAGCCTTGAAAGCTCCGTTCCGGAGCTCGAGCGCCAAGCACAAAATTTACAGGCCGGGAAGAGGATTGCGAAATGGCCTGACTGCCTCGGTATTATTAGGGCCTAGTGGTACTGACCGGGGCAAGCTAGCGAGTTCATCGCAAGCGTTTTTTTCATGGCAAACAATCCGCCGAATATCTGTGTTGTTTACGCAAGCTCATATTTACAACCTCTAATACATTGAAGCTGAGCTGAGCTGAGCTGAGCTGAGCTGAGCCGAGCTCTGAGGCAGCTTGAGTGTTGGTGACATTCCCCAAATTACAGGCTGATTGGAAGGCCGAAATCGGAGATAGGCAATCAGCACTACAAACCCCTGAAGGTCCCCCCTGTCTGGATCGCTGCGTGCCGTCCCGAGTCAGTGCAACCTTCACAACGCGCCAGCGTCACGGCGTCCGGGAAGAAGAAAAAAAAAATCGATCAAGCAAAAATGTACCAAAAATAATGTACTAGTAGCCTATTTGGATACTCGAGAAGCTGGATCCGCCCCTTCCCGGTCTAAAGTCGTGTTGTTTCCTCTGAGTTGGCGATAGCCTCAAGCCCGCTTCCGCTGTCAATATCAGCCGCAAAAAGAACACTGTCTCCATACCCCATGGTCGGCGCAGTCGAGTAGAAGTCACGGTGACGTACATCAAAACTTCAAATGACCCGAAAAGAAAGGATCGGAGACGAAATTACCTCAAAACTCCCTCGGTAAGGCTTGAACTTACAACCTCCGGATACCTGCTACTCCGACGAGATCGTAGAGAGTATAACAGTCCGACGCGCTATCCGGTTGCGCCACGAGGGATATTTCTTGCTTGTTGACGAGGAGGTTGAATTTGGTGAATATCAAGGGGTCACATGTGTGCGGAGGTGGACGGGTCCGGGTGGGCCGGGGTGGGCCGGGGTGGATGCGGGGCTTCAGTCCAAGAAGCTACTTCACCAAACCTAAAAACCATGAGGCTAATCGTTTAGTTTGCGTGATGGGAGTATTCGTGTTTCTTATTTACTTCAAGAACTCGATTCAATTACCTGGTCCTGGTCTTGTAGGTACTGAAGGAAAGTAGAAGAAAAGTAAGGGAAAACATGCCAGAAGGCTTCTGTGCATTCGGTAGCGCCCGGCAGAGGCCTGTCGCTAGTTGGCTGCGTCGGAAAAGGCCTCGATTACATCTGAAGAGGCCTCTCGCGTACGCTCCTCGAGCTGTTTGCCGACCAAGAACCGTGCACCTTCATACGTACTCAAAGCGTGCCACCCCTCGCCGCAATCCAGCACTTGGCGTGGTCGATGCCGATGGCAGCAGAAAAGATGATCCGACTGTAGACGTCCAAGTCGTCGGCCTGCGCGTCAGTGAGGACCTCGGAAAAACTACAGAGTTTGGTCAGCCGATCTTTCTTTTTCCCCTTTTCTGACCTTGGAGCCATACTTTCCGTTCCTCACCACAAAGTGTCGCTTTGAGTTCCACGCTGCAGCAAAGTCCACAAAATCTTTGGCGGCCCAGAGATGCGCAGATGCTGTGAAGGAGTGAAAAATACCCAGTTTACCGTCGCATTTTCCTGTCGGATCCGCCGGATGCGCAAACACGCCCTTGGTGATGTTGTAGACTCTCAGAAAGAAGAAAATCATCAAGAATGTCCGTCGAGCGGATTCTTGAAAGGCCCAACTCTCCCAAAATGCGCGCATGTCGTTGGGTGCATCGTTTTGAACGGCAAGCTCGGGGCCAGGTGCTGCGGGAAGAGCCACACCTGGCATCGAGAGTCCCACGTCGTCAAAAGTGCCTCGACTGAACGTGGTAAACGTCAACAGGGCAAACGCGGCCTCCTCTAGTGGACGCATACCGCGCTCGGATCCGGCACGCAGACTGATATCGCCATCGAAGAAGCGGATAATCTGGTACAAGAGAAGAGCATGTGCCCGAGCGAGAATCTCCAGCGGCTTGGTCGGAATAGGGGTGGATACGAGCTCCTCTGCTCTCGACTCGATTATGCGCAGAACGATGAGACTATTTGCTGGGGTTTTGTTGATGTAGAGAGCACAGAATGCTTGGGCGTCTGTGAGAGGTCTGATGTCAGCATAGGTGCTCTAGGGGTCATAAGTAGCAAAAGGTGTTTGAAAACTGGTGCGGTTAAGTACCCTGCATGGCCCTTGGCATCTCTTGTTTGTAGAGATGGGGGTGGCTCCAAGGGGTCGAGCATTCGAAGACCATCTGGTTGACAGCAAAACTCGTCCTATCCAGGGCGTATTGCAGCCGAACCTTCATTGCATAGGCGATGGCATCTGAAATCTCGCTCAGTGGCCGGGTTGCGGAGAAGACATCCAGCACCTCAGTGGTGCCTATGGTTGTGGGCGCATCTGGTAGTAGCTGGACGAAGTGAACCGGGCCTGGAGTGGGCGGATTTTCGCTGCCTGCAGCACTCTCGGTCAAGTCGGTAGACGGAGCCGTGTGAACGAATTCGTGGGTTGGGACGAAGACTCGAGGCTCCTCCGCTGGCGCTACCTGGCTAGACTCGGGGCTGGGATTGGAAACATGTACCGTGTCTGTAGATGTGGTGACAGGTGTGGGCGTAACGAGGTCTGGAGACGAGGTCTGCTGTGTGGGGCGCTTGAGCGAGTGACCGTCGGGGTACTTGCATTCCAACCTCCGCTGGCGACACCTCTGGCAGGACGGAGAGTCTTGGCTGCACCGTCTCTTCGCCTTGATGCACGCAGCGCAAGACTTCCGGCGTGGTGGGGGATCGGCCCGTTCGAGGGCGGACCAAGATGGCGGCACTCCGGCAGCTTTGTGATGGGGTGTTTGTATCAGTGGTTCAACCTGTGTGGGTGTTTTGGAGGCGGTGGACGCGACGCTGGCGAGTGTGATGCAACGCGCACTGGATTCCACACTCGATTCTAGCCTGCAGTTTACCCGAGGGATAGCCAACTTGAAAGTGTACAAATCGAGTCCATCATGATGTTGAAGACGAGAGTCGCAGGGAAACAGGTAAGCGGAGATGGGATGTGGGCGGAAGGATCTGAGCAGGGCGGAATTCCGCCAGCGTCCCAAAACAGGCAAGTGCACAGTGCATATCTGCATTTGGGTTTCACTGCGGCTAGTCGGCTCACTATCGTGCTTCTGCTCTGCTGACACATGCCTTCTTGTGTTTCTTAAAGGTCTTGCTTGAATTGACGGCGCCATGTGGAGTAATCTCCCGATGCCTCATTGCATTGAGGAAGCGGCTCCCTTGTTCGGTGATGGGGGGTTAGACGTTTCTGTTATCTCGTGTTTAGTTGTTGCTTTCACGCTTCTTCGCTTGGCTGCAAGGCCTCAAAAAGTGAACCATGCCTTCCGCAATGAAACACACGCCTGCTTTGATATCTTCCAGGTGTAACCACTCTTCAAAAAAGCCATGTGTGAGTTCGAATAACGTGTTCCAGACTTTTTTTGACGGCCCAAAGCTCATAGACTACGCTATTAGCCATGTTTGCCAATGCTTCAGAGGCCATCTCAGCAGCGACTTCGTTCTCGGCATCCTCATAGATCATCGTGCCAGCCTTGCGGTAAAGACGAGCCCAGTATTCCTTGCGGGCTTGGGGAGGGGTGGGATTGATGTTGGGGTCGATGCGGTCGGAAAACATGGCGATATCGCCCGTCTCGTTGATGTCAAGCGGGTTGTCAGTAAGGGACTGTGAAGTGAGGTTAGAAAGGGTTCATTGAAAGGGGGTGAAGGTGAGGTGGATATCGTACTGCGAGGCCCCAGTTGTTGAAGGGGTGACGGTCGTAACGATCCGAGAGCTGTAAGTTTAGCTTGGGAGGCATTCCGTCGCGGCGCGAAGAGCGCGGGGGGATTGGGGGCGTGGCTCCCGGTTATCCGGCAGCGGGATCGGCGAGCATTTTCAAGGCGGAGGAGGGTTCTTGATCAGGGTCAGCATGAGGCTCAGGGTTCATTGGTGTAAGTCATGATGTCGTTGCGGTGTTGAGCTCAAGGGGGTCAAGGACCTACCGATAGTCGGTTGAAAACTTTGAGTGTGACTGGTGAAGATGGTGAACAAGAGAAAACTGGTGGCAGCAGGTGGGAAATTTATACTAGAATTCCCATTGATGCTATTGTTCCCGTCCCCAATCAAGCTCCGATTGTTCGTTTGTGGCCCGAGCGTGATTCTGGCAGCCACTTAATTCAACATTCATCTGGCATTGAAGCCAGTGGGGTGAAAGGATGTGAATCAGATAACGCCAAACAATAGAAAGGATCAGGCCAGATTATTCAAACCTTCAAGGTGCCAGTCGTCAAGGTGCATTGAACTTTGGAGTCTGAATAGTTACCGAACAAAATATTTTCCAAGGGAGCTCAATTCATGAAGCCCCTGAATGGTTGTTCACCGAAAACCAACACAAAATTTCAGACCAAATATGTCCTCACGTGCCATCATAACTACATCCAATCCCCAGCTTCTTCCTATTCAGCCATGAGTCACCTTATGCCCTCCCATCACCCCCTGAACGCTCCCCCCAATGGTACCCTCGGTGGTGAACTGCCTTCCAACAAGACCATCCTTGGCCAAAGGACCTCCGATGCTCTGTCCAATGCCTCCAATAGCGCCATGCTCTACAACAACATAAATCAATCACTCAGCGGAAACCCAGAGTAGGAAGCTCGGCATGATTATGGTCATATCCATACCAGTGAACTGCTTGCCAATGGCGCCTTCGTGGTCAAAAACCTTGGGCTTGTCGACGCCCAAGTTGGCATTTGCGGGCGTGCGAACCGCTCCAGCCATTCCACCCGTCTCCTTGGGGCCGACATGTGAGCGCTGTCCTTGGGGTGTGGTTCGGGTTGGGTTGTTCATGGTATGTGAGTTAGGTTAATTGAAGGTTCGGATAATATGTGGAAGCTAGGTTTTCGGTTGGGTGAGGGAGGTGCATGATCGGGGCAGCTTGCAGTGGGTGGAGGGCGATATACGTTGGGGAATGGGTGGGGTTTGGTGATGGAGTGAGGTGTTGATGATCAGGGGTGATGTCACGAAGGATGATGCTTCGTCTGAAGTTGGTTGTTGGAGCGCCTAGTGTTTTGTTGATGGTTCAATGTTTGTGGATGCCCGCTGTGCAACAGGAGATCAGAGACAGCTCGAATTGAAATGGAAATGCAACTCTGGCTTCGGATTTTTTGGACGTTGGATTATGGCTGCAAGCCATAAATAAGCGCAACTTATAGAAAAAACACAAACACCAAGGCCCCGTGTTCGAACAAAGTGTGTATCGATGCCTTCGCAGGCCAAAAAAACAACAAACGGCCGTATCCTAAAGGGTGCTTTTTTTCGGTGTCAAAATGACTTTAACGAAGGAAACCTGGGAAGCCGGCACTTAAACCTTAAGCTTAAAATATAACCATCTTCTCTCCTCCCCCTTTTCGTTTTACAATTCCCTTCCTCGTTAATTGTTACGACTGTTATCTATTGACTGTTGGTCGGCAGGGTCGCAGGGAAACTGAGTGGATAAGCGGGGTAAATACGGAAGTAAGTCCTTACAGATTGGGGGTTATATGACGACCTGCAGGCCACCCTTGTGGGCCGGACCGGACCGATATGTCCCCGCAGACGCCACAGTACGTAGAAACACACGGATAATGTGTAGGTATTTTGTGATCACCTTACTGTAATCTTGTGGCGCGCCAGATGTTGTGGTGGTCTGGATATTGTCACGGCTGGTGGGGTCTGGCGGGCTAAAGGCGGTGCTTTTGGTGGCTGGTGGCTAGTGGCTGTGCTACTTTGTTCGCTGTGGCTGCAGATTCCGCACTGACGTCGGTCAACCGACTGCCCCTATGATCCATCCTCCA